TTATCTAGCCTCAACATGGAGGAAGTTTTAACGTTCGCTGACGAATACGAAAAAGCGTCAGGAAATATTGGAACCCGTCTTTTCTTACTTAAGAAATACAAGCACATCGTATGTGCTCTCGAAAAGAACTAGGCGTCTCGATGGCTGCAAACGGTCTTAGAAATAGCAGCTATCCGTCTCTCGCGCGTAATAATGGCAGAGTCAAACCGCGTTCGATCACCGTAGCTTTTTATAACGCGAATGGAATTAGGGAACAACGGGACGAAATTCATACGTTTCTTCGCGATCATCAAGTCGACGTACTACTCGTGCAGGAAACATTTCTTAAACCAGCAATGAGGGACCCGAAGGTCTCTAACTACAACATCGTCAGAAATGATAGGACCGGCGCCCCGGGTGATGGTACTGTCATTTACTACAAAAAATCCCTGCGGGGTTAGAAAGTAAAAAACAAAAAACGAAACGTTCCATCGTGTCGTCTAAGCGATAGCGTCTCTCGTTTTCCCGAGAAAGCTAGACAGTAACAGACGATAGTCACTTTCGTGCAAACGAAGGTGAATCGTCAAAAAAAAACTAATTATTGTCTCTGCTGACGATGACTGTTGTGTCATCTGAATTTGACGTTTAAAAATGTAAAATTTTCACGTCAAAAATACAGTTGAGATTCAAAAGTTAGCGTAGTGTGTTGAAGTTTTAAATCTTTTAATTAAAAATGAGTAAAAACGCGAGCAGCGAACAAATCGCCGTAATAGTGGAGTTTATGGAAAGGTACGTTAATAACGTATTTAATATTCTTTTAGGCACTGGCCGAACTTTTTAGCACAATACAGATTTTTAACACTTAGTTATTGTGTCAGGCATGGCGATATCGCCAACATGTGTAACACCCCGCAGGGGAGAGTGAGGCGCCAAGAACTTTGGCACTCGTTAAAGATGTTGCTGGGTCAGGTAGGCAGTGGTCCTGATAAGTCTGTGGAGCAGTGGATCAAGGTTGGTTCTAATATAATAATGATTGTAAAAATTATTCAAGACATACATTCTGAGGCATGTTTATTGTGGCAGACACATCCTTTTTTGACACACAAACACTGTGGGGGGAACTCACTGCAGGAAACTAAAAAAACCTATTCCACCATCACAGTACTTCGGGGCCAACTGTTTTATTAATTTCTCTTTACTTGTTTTATTTATACTAATAATGCATGTTGCTTTATTTTTTTGCATGGAACTCAGACATGGTCAGATTTAAAACACCGTACAAAGCGGAAATGTTTACTTAACCGTAATAACCGTTCTAAAACTGGTGGTGGTCCAAACAAACATATTACATTAAGCGACCTGGAAAAGCGCATCAGCTGTTTAATTGGTGTGCGGAATGTTTTTGGAGGGCCCATCCAAGAAACAATTGTTGTAAGCTAATAACAGATAATTAATTATTTCTGCTTATATTTAATTTGTTTATTTTGCTTATCCTTATGTTTTACACAACAATGGTTTATAGTCGCCATATCAAATATCACTATATCAATATATACAAATATCATATTTCATCATACAAAACTTTATATTTTAGGAACTACCAGTTGAGGAACTGCCAGCTGAGGAGCCCCCAATTGAGGAACCATCTGTCCAAAGATCAATTTTGGATCAGATCACTGACAGTAATTTATTACAATTCTATTATTTCATTTAGAAATAAGATATACAAATCTATTCTTCAGTTGTTAACTGTATTATATACAGTTAACTTATTATATCCATTATATATTTATCATAATTTTTTAGATGATGAACAAAATGATGTCTCTGCTGCCTCCTCTTCCAGTGCTCATGCTGCCCCATCATCAGCAATTGATCCTACATCTGATTTTGGTCATAGTCAAGGTAAATACTAACATACATAGGAATTGAAACACTACAGTTCTAGATTGTATCTTTCCTGTTTCTAGCTTTTCCACCAAGCTTTAAACACACAATTTATTGACAGATGCATCGCAGAACAGACGAAGACGCGTTTTAAAATCAACGCGACGGACCTCCTCTATTGAGACGCCGTATGATCGAGTGGCAAAAGAGTTTGCTGCTGCGGAATTACAGCGGTTGAAGTTGGAGGAGGACCGTGACAGGAGGCAGCATGCATTAGAAATAAAAAGGCTTGAGCTGGAAACCTTGCGTGAAACCAATCTTCACGCAAGGGAAGCTGTCAGAGCCCAGATTGATAGGGATACAATAAATATCCAACAAGCATTCCTCAAACTTCTTCAAGACGCCATAACAAAATTTTCTCATTAACATTACTTCCTTTTTTTCTGCTGGCGGTTCATTCTACCAATCTGGTTATAATAACGAAGTAACGGCCCGAGTCGAGGTTCGCTCGCGGTTTATCCTCTAAATCCGGTTATAATAACGAAGTAACGGCGCGAGCCAAGGTTCGCTAGGGGTTTATCCTCTAAATCCGGTTATAATAACGAAGTAACGGCGCGAGCCAAGGTTCGCTAGGGGTTTATCCTCTAAATCCAGTTATAATAACGAAGTAACGGCGCGAGCCGAGGTTCGCTAGGGGTTTATCCTCTAAATCCGGTTATAATGAAGTAACGGCGCGAGTCCCACGGAGGGCCACACCTTGTGTTGGCTGAGAAAGGAATGTAGCTTTGAGAAGCAGTCTCAAATGCAAAAACATCTAACATTTACATTGTTTTTATTTGTAACTTGTGTAATTTATGTTTTTTTTGTCAATTTTGAAATAAAAATGATCGTAAATAAAGTTTATTTTTCTTTATCATCTAAAGGGTCTATGGTTATATTTATATACCATTTAATATTCCTAAAAGCTGCTATTAATTAGTCTATCCCTAACTGCCCGCCCCGCAATCACATCTAGTCCGTTTTCAACAACAGTTGGTTGTATAGGGTCAGTGGACAAAATGACTTCTGCATCCTGGTCTGTAGGGATTCCTCTTGAATCTAAGAGCATGTTATGCAGTACTACACATGCAATAACAATTTCTGCTGCATAGTCAGGGTGATAATAAAGGACACGTTGACCTAGCAAACATCGAAATCTGGATTTAAGAACACCAAATGCCCTTTCTATGCAGTTTCGGGCCTTGATATGCACTTTAGTGTACTTGTCTCCTCTTGATCCTGGTTCTGCATTCAGGATTGGTGTCATTAGGTAACTTCTTTGAGGGTAACCACTGTCACCTAAAATGTTAAAAGTAATATTAAGTTACAAATAATATTTAATATGTTCCATATTGTCACCTGCTTAATATTTTACTATTAAAATTACTATTACCCAACAACCAAACTGACTCGCCAGATCGTTGCAGAGACTCCATATGGTTTCGCAGTCTGCTACTTTCCCAGATATGGCTGTCATGACTTGCACCACCAAACTTGGCATTAACATTAGTGATTCTGAGATCACTGTCACATACCTAAAATATTTATTTGAGATTTATCCTTAATTCATCTTCTAATTATTCTAGCAAATATTACAAGGTTATACCATTTGGATATTAAGAGAATGAAAGCCTTTTCTGTTATAAAAACAGGGTTCATTTGCAGCTGGACGAACTATGGCCACATGGGTGCAATCAATGGCACCAATTACACCAGGAAAATTAAACTTACTGTAGAATCTGTAAAATAATATGTGCAATTGATTGTATGTGCTCAAGATAATAAAAATAAAATGACAAAAGTTAAATACAATAACCCCATACCCTTGCTTAATTTTAGTTCTTTGTGTGCTTGTTTGTGGGAATTGTACCCATTTATTTGAAAGCACATTCAGAGCTTTTGTCACCTCTCTAATACACTGACTTACGCTTCTTTGATCCATGTGTACCTCATTAGCAATACCTTTCTGATAAGAGCCCATAGCATAAAAGCTAAGTGCTGTTAGCACCTAAAATATAATAATTGTGTCAGTATATGACTCAAATTGTCTAAAGTTAAACTTAATTATATTAAAAATCACAAACATATATAAAAAAAATCAATTTACTTTAAGTTCCAGGGATGTTGTTTTCGAACCTTTTAGACGTGTATTGCGCCTTAGCTCGTCACACAACGAGTGGAACTCTTCCTTATTCAGCCTATAATGAGTTCTAAACTGCCACTCCGGAATTTTTTGAAGTAACCGTTCACGATTCCTAACTCTATTTAGAAGCATACGTTGCCGGTTGATCTTTTTGGCTTCGGCATCCGCAGCTTCTAACAACATGAATGCGTTCCACATTCGAGACATATCTATAATAATATGCCCAACCAATAATTGTTTACTTCACTCAACTAACAAACTTATAATATAACACCAAAAAGATTTTTCACCTTACAAGATTTACAAGGTTAAATTAATATTTAATAATAATTAAAGACATTTAACTAAAGTTGATTCAGTTGATCTCGAAGCAAAACGAGACACCTTTGAGAATCGCCTCAAAAACGAACGATCGTGTCGCTTTAAAAACGATTATGTTTGTCATTTCGTGTTACTGTCTAGGAATTTTAAAGGAAATAGTCGAAAAACGACAGACGAAAGACGAAAGCGACCTTCGTGCGTGTCACTGTCTAAGATTTTCACGCGTGACGTCAGACGTCAGTGTCTCAACCAATCACAATCGAACGATAATCGCTTTCGTTTCGTTCATGTTTTTTACTGTCTAACCCTGCTGCACTGTGTACCGATTGACACGCCCGCGTTAACGCACTTAGAAGCCTCGATCTGTCAGCTGGTCATGACTGGCCACGCCCCAATTACGATAGCTTCAGTTTACCTTCCATGTAGACCAAGCGCAACCATCTTACGATCCGACTTAGAAGCCCTTCTATCCCTAGGAGGAGCCACCATCCTTGCAACCAGAATCAGTAAACGCGGCCGTGCGCTTGATGCACTGTCAAACTTACTCGATTTTGAAATCTTAGCGCCAATAGAACCCACGCACTATTCCCACGTATTGGGACACACTCCGGATGTGCTAGATGTTGCAATCGTCAAAAATATTAACCTTGCCATACGCAATATCGAGTTGATACATGAGCTTTACTCAGATCATCGACCAGTTCTGTTGCAGCTAGGGCCCTCTGCCCCGGCTGACCCTCAACTTAAAACAGTCGTTGACTGGCACAAGCTTAGTGCCAAGCTCAAAAACATTTCATCGCCACACCTAATCGCTATCCCCGACTTAATTATACAGATAACGATATGGGCGTCGCGATCGGCTCTCTAACAAGTCATATCCAAACCGCCATCGACGACTGTTCAAGGCAGATGCCTGAGTCAGACAAACAACGCTGGGCACTACCACCAGATGCCAGAGACTTGCTGAGACGCAAGAACGCGGCCACCCGAGCTCACGATTTGTATTCAACTGAATCGAACCGATTTACGAGTTACGTAAATAAGGTAATATAGGTCCAAATGGCAGAACTAAACCTAGCGACCGTCCTGGATTTTCTTCGGCATAAGTACCCCGAAGTATTTAGGGCACTTTTCGCGTCATGTCCAAACGGTGAAACTGAGGAGCCCGCAGGGCCTTCCCACCCGAACAGCGATGATTCGCTACCGACTAGCGACACGGTGGAGATGGAGTTAGACTCTCCTATGTCACCAGACAACCCCGAAGATGCTGGCGGCCTTTTTACGGTTGCCTGGACTGGCGCTCAATCGAAGCTAAACTCCAATCCACAGACTCGGACCAACTTAAAGTCATTCCTGATCAAATTGAGACCTAAGACGCCGCCGTCGCGGCAATTAAATCTCTCACTTCTCATCTACAGTCATCGAAGAATCTACCAGGATGGTCGCCGACACGGGAAACCATTTCGGCGAACTTCCAGCGACCATTCGACGCTTGATTAGGACCTAAAACACCGCTCTAAGACAATACAGCAGATGTAGAACTGAACATAACAGAACCATCTTACGCAAACTCCAAAGAGAGGTCAAAATGCAAGTAGCGCAATACAAGACAGACAGTTGGGTTGGGATACCCTGGTCTCAGACATCGAACCTTTCAGCACCGCCTTTTGGAGGCTGACTCGATCTCTGAAAACAATCCCAAATACATCAATGCCCCCTCTTATATATCCACATTACAAATCAGTAGCCTTTGACAACCTAGATAAAACCGAATGTCTGGCCAACTGTCTTGAAACTCAATGCACTCCGTCGACAGCACTCGCTAACGCAGCACACATCAACAAATCAACATCGAAGTGAAACGTAGGACGGCCCTCCCATCAGAAGAAGACCCCATAGGTCTCGTTACTCCTGCGGATTGACTAGTATTATTAGCAACCGCCTACTTAAATTACTCCCCGCCCATTTTATCATGCTCCTAGTTATTTAACACCTTACTCACGAACAGCTCATTTCCAGACGCGTGGAAGGAAGCGATAGTCATAGGTATTCCAAAACCCGGCAACCCACCTGATAAACCCCACCAGCTACCGTCCTATTAGCCTACTAAACACAATAGGTAAACTTTACGAACATGTCATCTTAAAACGGCTCAAAACCTATGCATTCGCTAAAAAACTAATACCCGACGAACAATTCGGTTTTCGTTCCCATCACTCATGCGTGCAACAAGTCCACAGATTAACCGAGTGTATTCTTACAAGACTCACGGCAAAAATACCCGTCAACTCTTGCGCCCTCTTTTTCAATGTCGCAAAGTCCTCTCCCCATTACTCTTTTCTCTATTCACAAGCGATATACCTAAAGACCCTCAGGTCAATTTAGCTCTTTTTGCGGACGATACCGCCCTCTACTATCCAAACACCCACTTAGGCAGGATCGTCATACGTCTCCAAACCGCAGCCACCCGCCTAGCGGAATGGTTTGCGAGGTGGAGAATCGAACTTAATCCCGAAAAAAGTGTAGCAACACTTTGCAAAGGGATCACCAAGACGGCGCGCAAAACCTAAGCGCAAACGAACCTCAGGCCAAATCTGTATATTCGGACAAGCGGTCCCATGGAAAAAATCGGTAAAATACCTAGGAGTCACTCTAGACTTAAAACTCAATTTTAATGCCCACATCAACGAATTCACTTGTAAAGCAAACTTCTTCAAGGCTAAACTCCACCCTTTAACCTGCTACTCAAGCAAATTGTCCCTAAGACAAAAACTCCACCTTTACAAAACGTGTATCCGCCCAATTATATCGTACGGAAGTGTAGTATTTGCCCATTCATGCCCAACTAAGTTAAATAAACTCCAAATCTCTCCAAAATTGTTTTCTTCGCAAAGCCACTGGTGCCCGATGGTTCCAGCGTAACGAGGATATACACAACGACCTCGAAATAGGAAATATCAAGGATTACTTTACTGATATATCTTGCCTACTAAAATTGCCGCTACTGGGCCCCAAGAACTTGCAATCCTCGACTAAAGCATCAAAAACCATTACATTGCCCAAGGGTAACTGTTTGTTGCGCGTTATCCGCAAGTGGGATAATCGGACCATTTTTTTTTTAAATGCACGAGGCCAAGCGATAAATGTTAATGATGAGAGTTATCAACTCATGATAACGGATTTTTTTTGCCGAACCTGCGAGCTGTTTCAACAGGATGGTGCGACCCGCACACACAGCTAGACCTTCAATGGATTTACTGCGGGAAAATTTCCCTGGAAAACTTATTACTCGTTTTGGGGAGATCCTGTGGACCCCAAGGTCACCCGACCTAACGCCAATAGATTTTTTTTGTGGGGCTACCTTAAGGAGAGAGTATACGCCGATAAACCGCGAACTGTTTTGGACTTAAAGGCAAATATTCGGCGAAATCAGCGCGATTCAACCAAGCTTATTGCAGCGTGTAGCACGGAATATGAGGCTTCGTTTTGAGCAGTGTATACAAAAAGATGGAAGACATTTAGATGACAAAATTTTCAAAAAATGAAATCCGCATTTGTACCCTGTGTTTTGGTAATTTGATTAAAACTTTATGTTGAACAGTATTTTTTTTTTAATTATGAAAATATGAATCTGCCACCAGACACCCTGTATATTCAGGCTCCTGACAAATGGCCGATGATACAATCGGCCATGTCGAACAAATTTAAAGTCTGCGACGTCACAAGGTATCAAAAGATGCAGCTCAAGACTGCTGATGCCTTTTGGTTCGTTATCCGATTCCTCCAAAAAACGGAGGTATATTATCACACTTATACGCTTGACGAGGAGCGTATACTTAGAGTAGTCATAAAACGCATCCCTAAGGAAATTTCGGTCGAAGAGATCATGCAATCTCTCAAGGTCCAGAATTTCCCCGTTATTAGCGTATTTCGCGTGACGCGGATGCGTACAAAAGATTCCATAGACTTGGTGCAGGTACACTTAGATCTCCAGGGACCTGCTCGGGCGTCCGAGTGGGCGGAGAGGTGAACTGACGTGGCGCGTCCTCAGGTGGTGGATAGAAGGACGCCCCGGCTCTTTCCTTTGGTAGGGCGAAAGCCCCGCGAACCAAACACGGGGGGGGGACTGGGGTGGGAAGTATGGGAAGGGCGGTCCCGGCGGTACTGACCATACCATTGGGGGATACCCTTCGAAACTAGGGGGCTCGCCACCCCCTAGCACACCGTAATCTAGTGGTTTCTTTTACTTCTTCTCTCTTCTTATTTTTTCTTTCTTTCTTCCTCTTGAATCTTTCCTATTTTCTTCTTTTTTCCTCCCTCTTACTTTCTATTATCCTTCAAAGACCTCCCTCGTGGCGGGGGGGGG